GCAGCAGGGACAGCTCGCTGAACTCCATTTTATTTCACTCGTAATGTAAGGCTTAGAAAAATTGTTATTTCTTATCATTTTTGTAATAAGCGGAAAACATTTTTCATAGGTCACTTTTAACTGCAAGGGAATCATTTAAATCTCGGGAATTGTATACGTGTTGCCAGTTTGTATTTTTGATTTAATTTTTAAACCGGCTTAGATTGTACGTGATTGTTTTTTATTTTTTTACGACATGCGGCTGTCGTAGTGTATTAAAAAGAGAGAAAATAGGGAAGTGATCAGATATTTGAGTATGAACCATTGTCATTAAACAGGTTATTTGCTATATTGTTGCTCCATATATGTTGGGTGTGGGATTGTGCAATGATAATAATGACTGTTAAATGTGCTGATTGTATCTATTATGTTTTGAGTACTTGCTTGTAGTTAAAGTCACCCATTATATAAGAATTATTGTTTTCAAGTATGATTAGCAGGTTTGTTAAAGTCGACTTAAAGTCATGAAAATTTGACATAAACCTACTACGATAGGTTTATGGTCTATATTAGAGACTGTCTCACACACACACACAATTGACAATATCGATAGCAATGCTATTATTTTTCCCGCCAATTCAATGAATGGGAAAATCAGGATTAGGAACTAGGGCCTACTGATAGACTCCGTGTAAGAAATCAACCAAAAACTACAGAACATAAATCCGGGGCGAATGGGTTAATTAAAAAATATATATAAAAATAAAAAATAAATAAATATATATGTATATATATATTTTTTTTAATATCGTTCATGGGGAACATTTGCAAGCCCCAATCCCTTTTAAGGACAGCTTTCACGAGGTTACCCGCTCCTCTCGCAGCAGGGACAGCTCACTGAACTCCATTGTAGCGCACGTGCGACCCAGAACATCTAAGGGCATCACAGACCTGCTATGGCTCCTTCTCTTCCCCTTTCTTTTCTATTCTTTCCCCTCTTTTTCCTTTCCCTTACCAATCCCTATGCATACCACTACAAGCCAAACCACGACTGCAACCAAGCACGATAATGACAATATCGTACGTACGTAATAATATCAAAACAAAAATCATGTATAATCTGTCTCTTTGGGACAGTCTCTAATATAGACCATAAACCTATCGTAGTAGGTTTATGTCAAATTTTCATGACTTTAAGTCGACTTTAACAAACCTGCTAATCATACTTGAAAACAATAATTCATATATATTGGGTGACTTTAACTTAGATTTACTACAAGCAAGTACTCAAAACATAATAGATACAATCAGCACATTTAACAGTCATTATTATCATTGCACAATCCCACACCCAACATATATGGAGCAACAATATAGCAAATAACCTGTTTAATGACAATGGTTCATACTCAAATATCTGATCACTTCCCTATTTTCTCTCTTTTTAATACACTACGACAGCCGCATGTCGTAAAATAAATAAAAAAACAATCACGTACAATCTAAGCCGGTTTAAAAATTAAATCAAAAATACAAACTGGCAAACGTATACAATTCCCGAGATTTAAATGATGCCCTTGCAGTTAAAAGTGACCTATGAAAAATGTTTTCCGCTTATTACAAAAATGATAAGAAATAATAATTTTTCTAAGCCTTCCATTACGAGTGAAATAAAAAAACTTGATAAATGAACGACTCTCCCCTCTAACCCCCACTTCCCCCTTTCCCATCCCACTCCCCTTCCCCAACGATAAGAAATACACATTTTTCTAAGCCCTACATTACGAAAAAAAAAAAAATCGTTAATGGGGAACAGTCGCCAAATAACTTACGCGAAGTCAGGCCGGGGTTCCGCAGGGGCGCGATAACCGAAGGTGGGCACGATTTCTGAAGGTGGGCACGATTTCTGAAGGTGGGCACGGTTGCGCGCGCATATATATTCCTGGCACTCACTACCTTAGCCGGAACGCGAATGAAGCCGCGCACGATTAGCTCGGGCCCCGCCAAGGCTGATGCTGGCGCCGCGGTGGCCTGGAAGCACACTTTGACGCGGGACTGAATATCGTTTTGTTTGTTTGTTTTTTTCTTTTTTTTCTTTTTTTGAGGGGGTGAAGGTGGGTGTATAGGAGGGGGAAGTATGGAGGATGGGGGATAGGGAGAAAAAAAGGGGGGGAAGGAGGATTTTTTCTTTCTTTCTTTCTTTTTTTTATTATTGACGTTTCTCTTTCTCTTACTTTTTCCTTCTCATTTTAAGATTTGCCTGTGTTCTTTGTTCTCTCTCTCTCTCTCTCTCTCTCTCTCTCTCTATCTCTCTCTCTCTCTCACTAATACTGTCTTATTGTGTGATTTTAATGCTCGCCATCCTCTCCTAGGCTCCGAGGGAAGTACCATTGGCAAAAACGGTAAGGTTTATTATATCTTCAAAATACTAGTGATCCCATACACTTATTATGTCGCCTCGAAAAAACTCATTATTTGGGAGGGAAATTGGACTATATAGCTCTATACAATCAGTACACACTACCAAGCACTGCGGAAGTCATCCCATTCTTAGTTAGTGATCACTGGGCATTAAGTATAACCCTCCCCTTTTGCAAAAGAACCCCACCCCAGCCACGCCTTCGATACCACCTTGCTACTACCTTGCTAACAATGAATTCATTGAAAGAATTGCCTGCTGGTATGAAGACTTTACTCCTACCAGCTGGATCACTTTAATGAAACCCTCTGTCAGCAAGTTGGCAATATCATTACTTAAATACAGGTCAAAAGCCCTGCCAATCACAGATCTTTATCCTCCAGAGGTAGACATGCACAACTGAACAAAGACCCTGAGATAAAACGTCTTAGAAGACTCATACGATCTACAGTAAGCCAGCTACGACACTTGGGGAAAAAACCGTACTTAGCTAAAGATCTTGTGTTTTTTAGTAAAGAGATCAATGAGATAATAACATGAAAGCGGGAAGAAAAATACATGAGTAATGTATGGAAGGAAATCAACAAGATCAAAGGCAATGCATGCAGTACAACACCCCACCCACATCCAGAAAGGGTAGCCTCATCTCTCCTCAATAAATGGTGTGAGGAGTCTTCTCTTGATAGCCTTCCATTATCCATACGTAGGTGTTCCCTTAAATTAAGCCATAAAAACGAATTTGACTACTCCGTCTCTCTCTCTCTCTCTCTCTCTCTCTCTCTCTCTCTCTCTCTCTCTCTCTCTCTCTCTCTCTCTCTCTCTCTCTCTCTCTCTCTCTCTCTCTCCATCAATCTCTATCTACATATGTATGCATATGTATGTATATGTATGAATGTATAATTGTATGAATATATATGCTCTATCTTCAAGTAAACAAACAAACGTACATTCATACATATGTACATACATAAATACACCCACAGCCACAGATATAAACAAACACACAGTGCATACTTCCTGCTTAATAGAATCCTTGACAAACCGATTGCTTGACAGAATAGTTGGGTAAATGCCCCCCCCAAAAAAAAGAGAAAAATATTTATGTGAAGTTCATAATGGATCAAACGCAACTCAATGCCAATCGATGTACAAATCTGTTTATATTTATACCGGAGCATCGCTTTAACGAACGTACGAACGTCTCTCTCTCTCTCTCTCTCCGTCTCTCCCTCTCCCTCTCTCTCCCTCTCACTCTCTCTCTCTCTCTCTCTCTCTCTCTCTCTCCGTCTCTCTCTCTCTCTCTCTCTCTCTCTCTCTCTCTCTCTCTCTCTCTCTCTCTCTCTCTCTCTCTCTCCGTCTCTCTCTCTCTCTCTCTCTCCGTCTCTCTCTCTCTCTCTCTCTCTCCGTCTCTCTCTCTCTCTCTCTCTCTCTCTCTCTCTCTCTCTCTCTCTCTCTCTCTCTCTCTCTCTCCGTCTCTCTCTCTCTCTCTCTCTCTCTCTCTCTCTCTCTCTCTCTCTCTCTCTCTCTCTCTCTCTCTCTCCGTCTCTCTCTCTCTCTCCGTCTCTCTCTCTCTCTCCGTCTCTCTCTCTCTCTCCGTCTCTCTCTCCGTCTCTCTCCCCCCTCTCTCTCTCTCTCTCTCTCTCTCAACAAAAACAACAACAAAACAACAAGAGCAAAAAGAACAACAAGAAACAGTATTAAAATAAGAATAAGAAAAATCAACAAAAAACAAAAAACAACAAACCAAAAGCAAAAACAAGAAAAGCAACCCCCCCCCCCCAAAAAAAAGAGGGGGGGGGCTATCCCGGAATCCCAATCGCCGGAATGAGCGCCAATGAAGAAGACCCATATTGCGCGGGAATAATCTCCGTCTCTCTCTCTCTCTCTCTCCGTCTCTCTCTCTCTCTCTCTCTCTCTCTCTTCGTCTCTCTCTCTCTCTCTCTCTCCGTCTCTCTCTCTCTCTCTCTCTCTCTCTCTCTCTCTCTCTCTCTCTCTCTCTCTCTCTCTCTCTCTCTCTCTCTCTCTCTCTCTCCCTCTCTCAACAAAAACAACAACAAAACAACAACAACAGCAAGAAGAAGAAGAAGAACAACAACAAGAAACAGTATTAAAATAATAAGAAAAATCGACAAAAAACAACAAACCAAAAGCGAAAACAAGAAAAGCAAACCACCCCCAAAAAAAGAGGGGGGGGGGGCTATCCCGGAATCCCAATCGCCGGAATGAGCGCCAATGAAGAAGACCCATATTGCGCGGGAATAATCTCCGTCTCTCTCTCTCTCTCTCTCTCTCTCTCTCTCTCTCTCTCTCTCTCTCTTCGTCTCTCTCTCTCTCTCTCTCCGTCTCTCTCTCTCTCTCTCTCTCTCTCTCTCTCTCTCTCTCTCTCTCTCTCTCTCTCTCTCTCTCTCTCTCTCTCTCTCTCTCTCCCTCTCTCAACAAAAACAACAACAAAACAACAACAACAGCAAGAAGAAGAAGAAGAACAACAACAAGAAACAGTATTAAAATAATAAGAAAAATCGACAAAAAACAACAAACCAAAAGCGAAAACAAGAAAAGCAAACCACCCCCAAAAAAAGAGGGGGGGGGGGGCTATCCCGGAATCCCAATCGCCGGAATGAGCGCCAATGAAGAAGACCCATATTGCGCGGGAATAATCTCCGTCTCTCTCTCTCTCTCTCCGTCTCTCTCTCTCTCTATCTCTCCGTCTCTCTTTCTCTCTCTCTCTCTCTCTCTCTCTTCGTCTCTCTCTCTCTCTCCGTCTCTCTCTCTCTCTCTCTCTCTCTCTCTCTCTCTCTCTCTCTCTCTCTCTCTCTCTCTCTCTCTCTCTCTCTCTCTCTCTCTCTCTCTTCGTCTCTCTCTCTCTCTCCGTCTCTCTCTCTCTCTCTCTCTCTCTCTCTCTCTCTCTCTCTCTCTCTCTCTCTCTCTCTCTCCCTCTCTCAACAAAAACAACAACAAAACAACAACAACAGCAAGAAGAAGAAGAAGAACAACAAGAAACAGTATTAAAATAATAAGAAAAATCGACAAAAAAAAACAAACCAAAAGCGAAAACAAGAAAAGCAAACCACCCCCAAAAAAAGAGGGGGGGGGGGCTATCCCGGAATCCCAATCGCCGGAATGAGCGCCAATGAAGAAGACCCATATTGCGCGGGAATGATCCTAGGCAAATGGCGGGCCGATTGTGTCTGGCGGGTTGCTGTCCTCTCGTCCTGCTTTGCTTTCTTTATTCGCTTCTCTTTGCTTTCTCTTGTCTTTCGGTTGGTGGGTGCGGGTGCGGGTTTAGTTTGGTGGGTTGGTTTTTTTAATGGTTGGTTTTCTTGTTTTTTTTTCTCTCTTTTTTTTTTTTTTATTTCCTTTTCTCTTGACCTTTATGTAAAAACTCTAGTGTATGTTTGTGTCTTAGATCGTGAATTTATGCCTCTCCGTGTGCGTGTGCATGTGTGTGTGCGTGAGCGTGTGCGTGTGCGTGTGTGTGAGCGTGTGCGTGAGAGTGTACGTGTGCGTGTGCGCGTGCGTGTGCGT